TGTGTGTGTGTGTGTGTGTGTGTGTGTGTGTGTGTGTGTGTCATCAGATTTCAGCCAGGGTATTGAATGAGACATCATGTAATGCTAATGGTGTGATATCGATGAGACCCACCCATGTGGACACTGAAGTCACCAGGGTGATAGGATTAGGGGTGAAAAGAAAGGCAATGAGTCAGATGGGGAGGGCAGGGCAGGGCAGGCAGTATTGTCCCTGGCAAGGTTTAGGGACATGCATTTAAGTTCCTGAGATTATATAGCTCATGAGCTGTGAGGCAAAGAAGGAGTCAGAGAAAATTTTCCTGGCTTCAAGTCCAGAGCCACTGCCACGTCCATTACTCTTGCTGAGAGCAGCTTTCTGAAGCAGAGTGAAAAATGATCAAAGTAAATGTTAATGATGGGGAATATGGAGCATGACAGAGGTTACACATCAGCGAAGGCAACCTGGGCTATGGGAGTGGAGTGAAGGGTGGATGGACAGTGGGATGGTGAGGCGTATGGTGGAGTCCACTCAGCTGCCTTGGCCTGCTTCTCAGATTTTCAGGAGCCCTCTCTGCAATCTTGATAAGTAGCTGATTAGTCACATTTAGGTATCGTCCATTATTTGTGCATGGTAATAGACACATCCCCAGTTGCAAAAAATAAAATGTTTCTAAATGGTATGGGAGTATTTTGGACAGAGCACAGGAAGAGCACAGAAACTGCCAAGAGAATGATCAGATCTTAAAAGGTATTTCAGGGATCAGTGCCTGAAAGTTGGCATGGGGCGTTTTTGTGGCATGCTACACCATTTGATGGCTGACCTTTTCTATTGGCTATACATTCTGTTCTCTTAGGGCGATGTTATAGTTTCCTAGGGCTGCCATAACCAAGTACCGTAGACTGGGCGGCTTAAGCAACAGAAATCTATTTACTCGGAGTTTTGGAGGCTGGAAGTCCAAAATCAAGGTGCCATAAGGTGATTTCCTTCTGAGGGCTCCCTCCTTGACTCGGAGACAAACATCTTCTCCTTCACGTGGTTTATCCTCTGTGTGTGTCTTTGTCTTAATCTCCTTTTCTTATGAGCGTACCAGTTTTATTGGAATAGTGCCCACCTTGATGACCTCATTTTAACTTAATTACCCCTTTAAAGGCCCTATCTTCAAACATGGTCACATTCTGAGGTATTGGGGGTTAAGAGTTCAACAAACGAATTTTGAAAAGGCACAGTTCAGCCCATAGCAGGTGACGATTTAAAAAGGTTGCATATAAATAAGTTGATAACAGTGATTGCCTCCATGGCAGGACAGGAAGCCTGAGGGGTCAGAGGAAGGTATACCCTTCATTATGTAACTTTTCCGTATTGCTTGACTTTTGATACTATATTACCTAATCAAAAATAAAATGATTGCGCGCCTATTGCACTTCCTTGCACGTAACAAATATTTATTGCATAAAATTAGCAGAAACACAGTGTGACAGTATGCTGTGACTTTGGGACCTGAAAGTCCCTAATTAGCACAGGAGTGGTGCCTGCTGGTGTTCCTTGTGTAATTTGCTGTAAATAAACTAGACTCTCCCAATGGATTGCAGACTCCACCAGACCTGGACAAGGACATCCTCACCATTTTATCCTCAGGACCTAGCACAGAGTTGGCACTCAAATACTTGCTGTACAAATGAATACATCAATGAGTCCAATAAGTGGAGCGGCTTTGGAGAATGAGGCCCTTTCTGATGTCTTCTTTCCGTAGAAAGTGTCAGGGTGGGATGTACAGGGGGGAGAGTTCTACATATCGAACAACTTACTGAGGTAAATTATGACAAAAAGATTAAGGGGATAGCACTTACTCTAATGTGCCATCTTCTTTGTCTTTTGGAACAGACAAAAAAGATTCTGCCTTCTTTTAAAGGGTTCTTTTAAAATAATCTGAACTCCCATGACACTATTGCTCTTCTGTATTTTGAAAAGAGAGGTAGCTATGAGGCAATGGCATGCACCCTACACAGATTTCTTCCACAAATCCATCAACCCTAATTCTCTTTTCTGTCTCTCAGTTTAATGCTAATGCCCACCTTCTACCCCAACACTGCCTCTCACCTTTTGTTGATTTAGGTCTGTGGTTTTCAGGAAAGGACTGAGCCTCTCTCTTTTTCCTCAGAGAGTGCTAGACCACTTTTTCGCTCCCTTCTGAGAGTTTGTAAGAAGGATAGATAGAAAATGCAGCTGTTACCGTCCTCTCACAGGCAAGCTGGGAGCTCCGCCCAGTTCTGAAGACATCTTACTGCCTAGGAAAACCGGGTCAAGTTGGAATCAGAGCATTCATATTACAATATGCCGAGCGTGGGTTGTAAATTGGAATGACTGTATTATGATATCGGTCCCTTTGGCTCTCATGCAGGCCTGAGGTTGTCCTGGGAAGGGGACTTATCAGGCTTGGGCACACATCAGCTCAGGCCTGCCTTTCACTATGGCATTTGCTACTAAGTACACCAACAATCTGTAGTGCTTTCTCCACAGAACTGCTTCCTGCTGTGTCTGGAGGCCCCTTTCAGACCTACCTCCATATAGCTTCATCCAGATTGGGAGGTGACTAGATGTCTGTGTCACTGAGCCAGCATATTTTTGCTGAAAGCTACAAAAATGTTTATGTTCTTAAGAGTAAGCTATAATATGTCGCCACTTAGCTTTAGAATCGATGAAAGGACACGGTGGTGAAAGGTGAATGTCATCAGCCCTTAGCTGTGAAAGACAGGGGTGGAAGACAAATATATACCATAGTTCTCATCACACTGGCTTTACTTTGCTAAATTTACCCTTCAAGATGTATGTCCATTTTTTCAACAGGAATGACAGAATAACACAATGAAATTCTCCATGAGTACTTTTTAAATGACACTTATAAACACCAAAAATGGGATCAGAAGGAGAGTTTAAACTAAAAAATGGTTAAAAATGTATAACTGACATCACTACAGCTAATATAATAAAGTTACAAAATGTATGACACCACTAGACCATATAACCTGCTTGAGAGCAGAAACCACGTTTTTATCATTTTCTCACATCTTGTAGTATCTAACATGATGCCTGCCCCCGAAGTGAGTCTTTTACAAATTTTAATGCAACAGAAATTATTTTAATTTTATCCTATGTTCAGAGCTGAGCAAGCTGAGACCCCAAGTGGAGTCTCTGGCATAGTTTTCAGTTTGAGGAAATGCTAGATACTGTGATTGATGGTGATTAAATTTTAAGCACTGAAAAGTAAAGTTTAAAAGGAATCAGGAAACACATCATAGTTGGCTTCCATGGCATATTTATACTCAAGGTACAGAGTGGCCAGCTCTGGAAAGTCCATTTCATTCACTAACTGAGGGGAATTAAGAAATTCAAATAGCTGGCAATTAAAAAAATACTTTAAAAGAAATGGCAAATATTAATGCTCATTTAGGATAGGTCAACTGTGCCTTAATTAATATTAGTACAGTTTCTATGGTATTTGGTATAAGTAAAGTATATCGCTTCTGAGAGAATTCTGGAAAAATTATGGTCCATTTTAAAGTAGTTCATTATTGTAGGTAAAGAGACTTACTGAAGGCTTTCTCTCACTATTATTAAAAAGAACACAAGGGTCTGGCAAAATTATTCCAGTGGGTAACTTGTTAAAAAAAAAAAGTTTAACCAGTACTAAGGATTGAGGAGTATCTTCCAGGATTATGTGTGTTACTGAAAGCAAGGAATATAATGATTAAATTAACAGGGAAGAAACATAAACAAGTATTGGGTCAATTTTCAGTGGATATACTGTTCAAACGGTATGGAGGGTCAATTAGACTCAATTCTGGGGTTTCAGTTTTGTACATATGTTCCTTCCTCACATCCTGGCCTGATTTACAACATTTTCAAATGATAGTCACCTAACAGATTTTCCTTTGATCCCTGAAGACTCACAGGTATCGCCATCTTTATTTACCCTGGTCATCAATTATGGTAGAATTGGGAGGTGATGTGGATTCTGTTAGGATTCTGTAAGGGAAAGAATTGACCAGCCTGCTTCATGCCCAGAGCTATCAAACCTGGTTCTTAGAATCCACGTTCTCAAGTCTGGCTCTTTATTTAAAAAAAGAAAAAGGTCATTAGGCGGCTTGAGAGAAAAGCTTGAGAGAAACATTTCCCCATCCTCAGTGAAGACAAATGAGCTTTTAGTCTATTAGTGAGTATCTTGTTGAGAAATTTGTGAACAATTGAAAGTGTTTATCTGATGACTGACCAGTTGTGAAATTTCACACTGAGTATTTTATTCTTAAGGTGAGGGGAGTAAGTTGCGAATTGTGAGTTTCTCTTTACTCTGTTGCCACACAAAATCAGCAGCCCCAACCACTTCTAAGTAAGAGGGTGAGTCTTCTGCTCAACAAAGTTAACATCCTTCAATTTCTTCCTCTCCCTCCCTTACAATGTTGATATACTTCTTTGGCTGCTTGTGTGTATGTGTGTGTGTGTGTGTGTGTGTGTGTGTGTGTGTGTGTGTGTGTGTGTGTAACCTAAAAGCTTAGGCTTCTGCTAAATGTATGCTTTTAATTTTTACGTGGTATACTTCTCTCATAAAAACATGTTTTGTGTATTCTATCCCAGCACAAAGCAGATGAACCTCAAATGTTTGTTGATTCTGGTCCTTCTTCTAATAACAGGGATGGGAAATCCGGGCAAAGGATGTGTTGTTTTCGCTAATACTGTTCTTTAAATCTCAGACGATAAAGTGTCAGCTAATGACCCCCTGGGTCCCAGGCTTTCACTCGGGCCTTCTAAAATACACAAAACTGAAGTGAAGGCAGGATACCATTAGCACTACATAATTCAAACAAACAAATGTGTTTACACGGCCTGGCTACTGACCACCTGCCTTCCCATCCCACAAGCCGTGTATCTATATATGGGAGCTCCTTGTCCACAGTCCTGCAGATAGGGAGCGTCTCTTTTGGGCCTCACAGTCTGTGAACCTTAGAAGAGTTTGGGCCCCGACAGCATGTATCTCCTCTTACTTCAGCTGCTGGTGCTGCTGCCTCTGGGAAAGGCTGCACAGCTCGGCCACCAGAATCATAGTTCCATTTCTCTGGTGCTCCTGGAAAGGAATCGCAGAGAGCTTCCCATGGGCAGCCAAGAGGAGGCCGAGGAGAAGCCAGATCTGTTTGTTGCAGTGCCACACCTGATAGGGGCCAGCACTGCAGGGGAGGGCCAGAGACAAAGAGAGAAGATGCTGTTCAGGTTTGGCAGGCTCTGGAAAAAGCCCGAGAGAGAACTGCACCCAACCCAGGACCCGGTCAGCGAGCACTTTCCACGTGGGACCCAGGCCCTCACTCCGTCAAAGGATGGGATACAAATGAGGAAGTCGCCTCTTCAGGAAGAAGCCAAGAGATTCTGGCACCACTTCATGTTCAGAATGAGTCCGGCTTCACAGGGGGTCATCTTGCCCATAAAAAGCCACGAAGTGCATCAGGAGACCTGTAGGACTGTACCTTTCGGCCAGGTATCTGTTCTGGGGGAGAAGGGTTTAGGGTCTACAGGCAGGGGGTGGACAGCTGGGACAGGTGGAGAGTAGGGGAAGAGGCTGCCAGGAGCCTGAGTCCTGCCTAACTTTGGGACAAAGGAGACTTCGTCTTTAGGCATTCATCATAGGATTTGGTAAAGTATGATCATATCCCTATGAAACTTCCTTCTAAATTTCCCATTGTTTCTTGGTATTCTGGAAATGCTGCAAGAATGGTATGACTGTACTGCCAATATCAGTAATCATTTATATTGATGGCACATAGCTTTGTTTTATTTATTTATTTTTACAAAAGTGTTGTTCTATCCAGAGAGATAAGTAAAACTTCACCCTTAGTGAAGAAAGGGAATTTAGAGCCATCACGGGAACTCTCTCTAGCTGTGTCTCTACACTCTATTAGGATGTAGGTGAGTAGGTCAACTTCATCTGTAGATAAGTTGGGATACATTGGACTCCTCCCAAAACACTCTCATACACATATATGATTGCCTTAATCCCTGTATTTCACATGGAACTACTTCACAGGTCTGTAAAATATGTTGAGGGTCCCAGGCAGAAGGTGCCATATCACTTTAGTATAACCATTGCAAAAATGATTTAATTTAACTTATTTTCTCATAAACATATAAAAAAGAATCTTTATGTAAAGTCACATTTTCTCCCCTTACTAACACCTATTTCCTAATTCGTGTTGTGTTGGTTGGTTTGTGGTTGTCATGATTGATTCCACACTATTAAGATGAAGGAGCATTCTACTGTCTACTTCCTCCCATCAGTCCTGGCAAGCTCCATACTCCAAATGTTAAATGAAAATTGAGAAATTGCATCAGGTCCTTAAACATAAAGATAGTGAACCAAAAGCAATGTGAAGTAGAGTAAAATTTTACAGTCCAATAATACTATTCAATTAAGCAGGCAGTATTATAAGGTAATTGACTGTGCAAGGCAGTTAAGTATTCTGCCTAAAAAGGCAAGGATATGTAGCAATGACAAGTCAACTATCAAATAATAATGATGGCTTTGTTGGCCATGTGCAATTAGAGAATTGCTCCTAAGAATCGTGCAATGAAATTTCCTTTGAAACTCTTATTTTGAGCTCTATTGCTAATTAAATAGAAATTAAGGTGTTTGACTCACATATTTTGAAGGACACGTAAAGCTGTAGGCACAGGGTTATGAGAGAGGCAAAGGTGAGGTCATGCATGATGATTTGTAGACTTATGTGTTGCAAATTTGCTCCAGGCAACTTCATAGATTTGAATGTACTATGGGTCCTGCAAAATAGGATAGAATTAAACTCCTGATATTCAGAATATATTATGCACAATGTACTGTGAGGATCAAAAGGGAAGGCACATTCCTTGCATAAAGAAGTCAGCCGTTAGAATTTTTCAACTGGCAACATCCAATTAGACAAAATTTCTTAAAGTTTAGCATTTAAAAATAGAGTAAAACACTTTCATTAACTTAGGGACTTCTTAAAGGTTAATTTATTCATTTATTCAATAAAAGAAATATTTTGTTGAGGCGGCTTTATGCCCTAACAGATAACATTGCTGGGATAATGCAAAATATCCCAACTTGGAAAGTTTTTGAAACTTTATTCTAACTTATCCTCAGACTTACAGTCTATAGCTTTTATATCATGTGTGTTAATGAAATGATGCAAGATGATCTAATGGAGATATGTTTGCCTTGTAGGCTATCACCCATGAAGACTGTGAGGAAATAGTTGTACAGAACAACCTTTGCTTTGGGAAATGTGGGTCTGTTCGTTTTTCTGGAGCTGCACAGCACCTCCATAGCTTCTGTTCCCACTGCTCGCCTGCCAAGTTCACCACGATGCACTTGCAGCTGAATTGCACTGGCCTTGCCCCTGTGGTCAAGGTGGTGATGCTGGTGGAGGAGTGCCAGTGCAAGGTGAAGACGGAGCACCACGAGCATCATGCCCAGGATCCCTTTATCCCAGAATTTTCCACTTAAAAAGCTATCCCAATATTACCTTTCAACAGCAAAGTCACAATAGCAAAGTTGCCGATTATTCATTCCGGAAATGTCAGTGGGTAGATACTCTTTTAAGGGAAAGGTGTTTTAAAAAGTAGCAAGATAGACCAATTTAGAGGAAATGGTATTCGTCTAGTTATCAGTACACATTTGGTATCCAGTTTTGGCTCTCCTGCTTACTGGCCATAGGCCGATAACAAGTTATAGAAGCATTCTCCACCTTGAGTTTTTCATCTGTAAATGAGGGGCTTGAACTCGATGATTGCTAACATCCTTTCCACTACTAAGATTCCATGATCTAATGTCTCCAAGTTTTGGTAAAAGCCCTCTACCTGAAAAAGGAAAAGAAATAAACGAGGCCATAAAAATGGGCTTCTTTAATAGCTTGTCAAAGCACCAGCAAATTTGTAGAAAGCGTTCCTCATACATATAGCTGCTTTTGCATGCCAGGCAGTGTTTTATTTGACTCCTATCAGATGATTAAGTAGTCCCGTAGATGTAAGTACTAACTTGTTTGCTTGCCTCCTTATTTTTGATACTCCCCATATAAAGTTATTAATGTCAGGTCTCTGGCTTTGAAGAAGGAACATTAATGGTACTTTTAGTGCTTTACATAGGGACGAGGAATAATCATTGGTAGCCAAACAAGTACCTATATTGTGGGGAAAGAAAAATATATGACCAGCACCAGGTTTAAAGGTCAATCCAGAGATGCTAATGAAAGTAACCAAGGAATTCCAGTAGATGCCAAATTAAAGAAACTGCAAATGATTTAAAATTAACACAATTTACTGATGATGTCTTTTATCCACATGTATTTTGTATTAGGCAGTAAGTAAGGGTTCTGTGTCTAGATGACTGGTTTTTGTTACTGTATAAAAACTTCATATTACAAATTTTATTCAGCAAAAGCCACCGCTACAAGTTCTGAGAATATTCTGAATATTTGAATGTATTAAATTTTAGTGTATGAAGCATTTTGGGAACTGTCATGACATTCCATTGTCTTATATTTTGTCCTTATGTGTTTTGTCTGTCCCATAATTTAAAGACACTACCTGGAGATTACCTAACTTGAAGTATTTCTGAAATGGTTTCAGAGCCAATGACAATGGCCCAAGTGTTTTTTCTGACACATCAGATAGCTTTCTGCTAAGGTCCTTCAATCACTGTATTCTGTGATTACATTTCTCTTTCTGTATTTATTTATATGTATGTTTTGTTCAGAGCTGGCTTTCCATATATATTTCTTTTTCTATAAACATTCTTTAAAAATTCATCTTAAAATTATTTTAATTATTTGGATTCCTTTATATTCAGTATATTCTGTTTCCCAGAATAATGATTATTTTCTTAAAAAAAAGAAATCAGTAGTTTAATTCTATTCCTCTTTAATCACACTATCTAACCTGGTGTCCTGAAGAAGCAAATGCATTTATATTTAGTGTATATTTTACAACACATCAATGTAATAGAATATGTACTACACAGAAACACAAGTGGCATTTACATCAGAATATATTATACCCTTTAGTGGTCAAAGACAACCTAATTGGCCAATATATGATCATAAGGATACAACTGTTAAGCATTAACGATATCCCAGCTGGTCAATATATTTTGGTGCCAAAAGCTATTGAGCAGCTGTATAGTTTGCAATTGCCTAACCCTGATTATGTAAACCTATCTCTGCCAATTAGACTATACTCCTCATTTTTACATTCTTATAAATCCCTTTTATATATCCTTGCAAATAGACTCTCTAGCCCCAAACAATCATCAGTTTTATTCAGAACCTGGTCTGCCCTTCCCTCACATGTGAATTCAAGATGAGATAGCTAATAGTGGTATCAGGGCTTATATTCATTGAGTAATTGCATGAACCTCACCATTTTTACTTTTTCAACCATTTTTATTTATAAAAGGCAGTTTTCAATGGTTCAACATAATATATGGGAAAATAAGAAACCAAGAGGAAACACACAAATATCGAATATCTATTAAGTGTCAGATACTGTGCTGGACTTTTTACATAAATTAATTTATGTAATACATAAATATACAAATTATTCCTCACAAAAACTTATGAGGTGGGTAAACACCCTATTTTATAGGTGAGGAAAATAAGTCTTAAAAAAGTTTAAACAACTTGCCTAAGGTCATTGGAAGCATATTTTTAATTTGTATTAAAGTATTTGCTCATTCATAGTCTATCCATTTAAAGATTTTTTTTTTAATTGGGGAATTTGGGGGAGGGGAACAGACAGGTAGACAAGTTGTTTTGTTCTTTGGTCTAGTTGTGGAGGATGTTGCTTCACTTGGATGGCCCAAACTGGCACCATCATTGCGCTCTTCCCGGCTGAGGCAGGTCAGTCGCTGGCTTCGGATCAGCCGCTCACTGCAGCTGCTGGCAGCTCACGCTGGTAGCTTATGGTAGCATAAGCTACACATGGTAGCTTATGGCAGCCCACTGCAGCAGGGGCTGCAGCCTACGCCGTTGCCAGCGACCCACAGCAGCCCAGTTCCAGGTCAAGCTGTTGTTCAGCATCTTCGCTGTAGAGGGCAGTGTCACTGGACCTCATATGTGGGATCCAAACCGGGGTCCTCTGGCATCCCAAGCCAGTTCTTAACCAACTGAGCCACTCGGCCGGCCCAATCCATTTAGATTTAACTCCTCTAGGTCTCTTGATTATAGGCCCCAAAGCTAATATCATTATACCTCTTGTCTAGCTCTCATATTTCAAGGACATTGATGTTCTTTTGAAAGAGAAATCATCCTTAGGTCAGGTTCTCAGCCAAGCATTGTCCCAATTGAGAGGTAGTCATGGCAACCCTCTCAAAAATCTTGGTCTCACTTGGTCTCCCGGTTAAAATAAGGCTGATAATAATTACTTGAACATTATTGCGATGACTAAGTGTAAAGAACAGCACATCAGAGAGCTTTCGATTCTGTAAAACTATAAGGGGTTAATTCACTCTTCTCCATTCAACCTTCTTTTTTCTTTTTTAAATTTGTGTTGAGAGATTTAAAAGACAGGAAAGTACAAAGAATAACATAGCACTCAAATTCTTACTACCAGAATATTTAATATTTTCTCATCTTTTGCTTCTTGTCTTTTTTTTTTAAAGAAATCAGCCATTTCACATATTAGTAAAGCCAGCCCCTCTAACCACTATGCTGAGTCCCATCCCTCAAACCCCTGACCCTTCAATACCCCCTAACCCGAAGATTCCTATTTATAATTCAAATATCCTTTTATATTTTTGCAAATCCATACACAGTCATAAATAATGCATAGTATTATTTTTGTGTATATGTTCCTTTATTCAGCAGGTTTTATTTACTTATTCACCAGCTATGTGCGAGATACCATTCTAAGTGCTGTGAGTGTAGCAAGGAAACAAGTCAGACAAAATCCTGCTCCAAATGGGGGGAGACAAGAAATTTGAAAATCAATCAATTCATTGATCAATCAACTGAAAAGGAAAAATATCATCAGTAGTATGAGTTTTAATTATATGCATGATAGTCTGTATAAATTGTTCTACAGTTATTTTTTTCTCCATACAGAATTCTGCTTGTTTTTATAAAAGGTTTTAGAGTTTTTTAAAATATATATTTTATCTCTATTCTAGAAACTTGGCATTAAATATTCCCTACAGAGAGTGATTAACTTAGCTTTGATAATTTATTTTTTAATGTACATAGTCTCTTTAACCTGTCAATTGAATTCCTATCTAAGAATGTCCTGTACCTTCTGAATTCTTACAGAGAAGTTATTCTATGCAAGACGCTGTGCTGAGAACTCTGGGATAATTTAATGTAAATAAGACACATTCCCCACTACCCAGGAACTTACAATACAGTAGCAGAGATATATATGCAAATTATACATAAATAATGATGGTAATAATAATAACAGCCATTAGCTATTGAGCCCTTACTGTGTGTTCAAGTGCTTTATATTTCTCATCTCCTGGAAATAGATATTTTATACCCATTTTTTTGACAAGGGAGTAAGAGAGAGTTTCATTCAGTCAGTCCACAAATATTTATGATTGCTAGGTACAAAGAATTTGAATAAATGAATATATGATTATTTGAATATAATTCCTGATCTTATGAAGGTTATAGTTCAGTAACAAATAACTAAAAGTATTTGCTTCTGTAAAGCTAGAATTATGATTCTCCCCACCAACCCTCAACTCCAGACTCAAATGCCACTTTCCTACAAAAGACTTTCTTAACCCCCAGACGAGGTCAGGCTCACTTCTTGTATGATTTCATGGCGCTGTATGCCTATACTTCATAGCACTCATCTCATTTTGTAATTATACTTTTATTTGCATCATTATTAGTCAAATCGTAAGCTCCATGAAAGCAGGGATCATATTAGATGTCTTTCACCATTGTAATCAATACGCAGGAAAGTGTCCAGTACATAGTAGGTACTCAAGAAATGTTTTTGTCTGCATAAAAGAAACAGTATCATAGGTATCATGTTGAAAGTATATCATGTGTTAGGCATTGTTTCAAGAACTTTATATGCGTCATTTCATTTAACCCTCATGAAATCCTATGAGGTAGGGAGCACTGTATTATTTTACAGATGAGGATGTGCATATAAATTAAATAACCTTCCCAAAATACCATTTCTGGGGCATAGCAGAAGCTGAATGACTCCAAAGTCCCAGATCTTTCCTACTATGCTGCAGTGACTCCAGATTTCAAAAGTAAGAATACATATAAATGAATATACACACATCTACACATATACATATGCATGCATATACACACACATACATACATACATACATACATACATACATATACATATATAATCAGGGTTAAACACCTGATTCACCTACTAGTCTATGTCTTCCGATTCCCATAGCCCATTATTCACACTTATCTTAAGGCATTTATATCAATGAGGATGCTTTCAACTCAAGTACTGGAAAACACAACTCAAAATATATTAAGCTATAAAGGAATTTATTATTTAACTAACAAGAAGTCTGGAAGGCAGCGAGTTCCTTGGTTGGTTGAGTCAGAAGTCCTACCATTCCGTCAAGGACTTGGGTTCCTTCCTTCTTTCTGCTCTGTCGTTCTCCATCAGCTAAACCCCCCTCAGTCACAATGTGCTGCTGCAG